GGAGAAGCTCTTATGGAAGATAAGATCAGAGAGAGCGAGAAATTTGTCTTAGATGGTATTGTCACCCAAACTACGTTTTCACACATCAAGAAAATCGGTTAATCAGCTTGAAATATCTCCAGCACAAACTATACATTTTCACACAGGTACCCCCTATTGGTAAATCCGTTGGAAATATCTCTAGCGGAAACTGTGTTTATACACGCCTTCCACGTTTATACACGGCTTCAAGAGAGCCAGGTTGTAGCTGGTGATCAGGGTTCTTCTAGTGGATCAGCAGAATATTCTGACTGCCACATTTGGTCGCAATCGGTAGAAGGATTGCAACATGGAAGGGATTATGGTTTGGGTTCGCAAGCCTATGCATACGACAATAGTCTCGCGGAAAAATTTCGTTGATAATAATCTGGTGGAACATGGCGGTGGATTATTCGCCAGTAATACCAGTGCAACATTTTCGCTGGAAATACCGACGAATAAAATGCCAAAATTCACTCGAAGAAAACAATGTGCAACCTGCATTTTTTTCACCGGAATTGCCCCGAAAAATTTTCTGGCATCAATAAAGACTTTCTGACGTGCGAATTATCGTCGTACGGATATCCACCGAAAATTCAAAATTTCCGTAGATTTCCCTTGTTACCAGCAAATTTTGTCCGCCGGTAACAAGCCATTTTCCTATAGTGACAAGTTATGAGATAAAATTCAACCCAATAAAAATATATAAGAGTTAAGAACATGGCTTGCATAATGTAAAAGAAAACTCTCATCAGTCATTTCAAAATCTCAATTATGCCTAAGACACTGGAATAGCAAAAAAAAAAAAAAAACTTAAAAACGATTGATAATTAAAAAAGCTTTACACCACAGAGATTTTTGAATAGTAAGAATACAATAAGAAAACATCAGCTAAACAAAAGAGAATAGTAGTGCCGCTCACCAATTGTTGTAGTCATACAGTCACCATTGCTAGAGACAAATCAAAATTAAATGAACCTTAATTTAAGAGAATTTTATGAGAGGGTATATCCCGTATCATCAATCTTGCATGTAACCCTAATTTGAGAGGTTATATATATTATGGAAGCCTCCAAGCATGACTTAAAGAACCCTAAAAAATACTCTCTATTTATATATATAATCGTACGAATACATTGAGAAAGGAAGGCATAGCTAGATCCCAAGACATGTTCTAGCTCCATGCAAATCAATGTGTTGGCATCCAATTAGTTTGTACTAATCAATCTGGTTAATAAAAGGGTTATTATATCACTCCTAAACATTGAGTCATAATTAAGATGCCAAAAGGAATAAATCCAATAAAAGGTCAGTTTATATATAGACATGAATTCAACTTATTGCCCAACAAATCTTGCTCCATGAACCCTCCAAATTACAACTATGAAGGGGCACTTCTAGAGGGTTGCAAATGCATGTATGTGTTAGAATGACCTAGGATCCATTTGATAATGCTTTCTGCTTCTTTCAATAACAGAATTTAAGGTACTTCATTAATTTAACTTATGTAAAAAAAATTCATCTTTCAACAAACAACTTTATGAAGAATGGTAGTTTAGATGACTTCCCAAAGAAGTAGCGACATAAAATTTAGCTATTTTATTTAATAAATAAATACATTTATAATTAAAATTAATTATCTATTATTTATGAAATATTTATTATATTCATTTCAATTATTTAGTCACTAATCATTTCACAACAACTTTTTACCAAAACAGTTACAACACTTCAACTTATGAAATATTTATTATATGGGGCCGGTTAGTTTGTTCCATAGAGAATTAACTCATGAAAGAAGAAAGTGAAAGGAAAAAGAGACAAAAACCGTAGTTTGGATTCAACGAATTCAACATGAATAAAGGTATGTTTTCTTCCGATTAAAATCTTGTGAAAATCATCATGTTTAAGATCTTGAGGATTTAAGATTTATGTAAATTCGTACTTTTAGTTTCGATTTCTATTACATAATTTGGAATGCGAGTTCTTGCAAAAATTATAGAACTCATAATGTACGTTGCGAGTTCTTATAAAAGTTAGAGAATTTGATAACCTTTTAATCTTACACCTTAGTGTTTGAGTAAGATGTGTTTGCTGTTAAGTTCAAAAGGGTTGTATATTTGATTCAAACTATAACAGTTTCTGTGTGTATGTATTAGTATTTGTTAACAGTTGCCCAGTGCATATTTTTTCTGTTAGTCCACATATACTGTATTTTCTTATTCAACTGGCAGCAAAAACTGGGTATGTGTCACTCTAACGTAGTAATCAAACCTGATGTTACATCTATTATCACAGATATGATGATACATTCAGCACAGAGATACACGATGATATGTGAAAGTTGGAACAAATACTGTAATAGTAGAATATAGTACAATTACTCTCGTTGGCTTGACTAAAGAAATTTTCTTATTTCTTGCGCAAAGAAAAATTCTCCTTGTGAAGACATCACAAGACAGAGAGGTACATATCATTAAATATAAATAAAAAGGCCCAAAAAAAATCAAAGATATTATAAGACTATTATTGATTAAAAGTATTGCAAATATTAATAGAAGGAAATACACGTATAAATATTTTACTTCTAAGACTAGTAATAATAAGAATATAATTATATACATTGATCAATATTTGCAAAAAAAGGGAGTTTAAAAAAGCTAAATAAACATTTTGAGAAATAGCAGTAGATAGAAGCACCTAAGAGGCCCTTTGGGATCACTTTTATTTTTGTTTCTTATTTTCTTTTATTAAAAACAAGACTGGCTTGTGTTTTTAGCTATTTCTATTTTTTTTTAAAGCAAAATGATTTTTTTTTTAAATATTCAAAACAAACTCTTAAGTGTTTAATAGGCGTTTTCATTTTTTTATAATAAATCACCCCAAATACCCCGCCGGCTACACTATCAGCTACTGATCATCGATCACTACCATGATCGACAGCCATCGTCGCTGATCATCACCACCTTATGCAACAAAATAAAAACAACACTTATTTTAAATACCAAATATATTTCAACTTCATTATAAAATGTAGATAAAGTGAAATAAAAAATATTAAAAAAAAAAGTGATATCCCTGACAAATTGATGTGAAGCACTGTATATAAATAGAGTTTAAATGGCTTTAATTGCATGGTTTTATAGACAGGAAGAAGATGCAAGCCAGCAACATTAAGAAATGATTCAATGAATGCACCAAATGAAACAACACAAGATGTAAACAACAAAGGAAAAGAAGAACACGTCTTCCCCGAATTAAATGAAGCAGCACGCCCCAAGTTAAACACTTTTTTTTTTGTTTGGACATAGAGGCCAATTAAGGAAAACACACACATCACATATGCAAGACTCGAACCCAAGACCTCTTAGTTGGTAAGCCAAAATACCAAACTAACATACCAAGATGAGTTGTATAAACACTTGATCTGTATGGATCTACAACTCTCTTTATCTAACATATCATACAAAGTATTATGACTGACCATCTTCTAATATTCTAAATTAATTTTTATTTATAATATGCTACATATAGATGGTTTGGTCACATAAAACGGCAGCCTTCCGATGACCCAGTTAGGAAAGTAGAGATATTAGATTTGACTTATGTTAAGAAAGGTACAGATAAACCTAAAAAGACTTGGTCAGAAAATACTAGACATGATCTTTCTTCATTAGATTCAAACGAAAATTCGACTTTTAATAGGGTAGGATGGAGAAAAAGGATTCATGTAGCCGACCCCTCGTAGTGAGACAAATGCTTGATGATGATGTTGATGTTGTTGTACATATGAATGTGTTAAAACTTGAAACAGTATTCACACTGAGAGACTGAAAAGCATTGCTCTTCCAAATAAAAAGAGAAAATGTATTAAATTCCAAAGCTGGAAAAGGAGGAATGCAATTTATTTACAACAGGAGACTAAAGTAACTTATGCAGTAGTAAATCAGCAGACAAGTTGAGGTAAAAAGAAGAACATTTCATGTGCTAAACAACTCACAAGATTGCAAACAGTAACTAATATTAATGGGACATCACACAATTCCCGTGTTGCCATAAGAAAATTAAAAAAAAAAAAAATTTCTTCAAAAGAACGTAAAAGCCAAGCACAAAATTTCATAGCAAAGTGATTTCATAGCGCCCAAGATTGCCTTTATCTTCCCACTAGTCATAATATATATTCTGAGCAATTTAATGGCTCTGAAACTATTTTAGGTCATAAATTAAGCAGCAAAACATTTTCAATACAACGAAAGGAAGTACTTCCATACCCATTCAAGTTCCTGTGGTAAAGCACAGAGCTACACAGTGATGTCATCAGAAGCTTGCAGGAAATTCTCATTCGTTGTGTATCAGAGTAACATGAATGAATAATAAATTAATGAGGAGTTTCAATAAAAACAAAATACATAATTTTATTTAGTAGATGCTTTAATCATCATTAGTTTAAAAGAAAATCTTCAATATCAGAATATTCTGATAAAAAAAATTCTCTTTTATTTGATTTCTCATCCTTGCACCAATCTCAAAACAAATCTAACAACTTTAAACCTGCCCTGACAAAAAAATTAAAAAATGAATACGTCTAAATGCGGAAATAATTCCCACATTTTCGCAGTTAAGAGATTTAACAAATATCAATTAATTTGTTCCAAAAACAAAACCACAGAAGCTAAATATCGTGACAGCGTGGGAAATGGCAATCAGCGAAACAGACGGAAAAGGTCGTAATAAGACAAAAAAGAATAACTCAGGCAGCGACAAGTAGTCCATGAAACTAGAGAGAGATAGAGAGAAAGAGAGAGAGAGCTTCATTTGCAGTGCATGGTCGAAGAGATTTACCATAACGAACACATTCCCACGATTTAGTCTCTCTCTTTCATTCTCTTTCTCTCCACATTGAACAAAAGGCAACAATATCAAGACCAAAATAGTATTCAGAGATAGGCATATAAGATAAAGAGATAGAACAGCTTGCTTACCGGAGACGTAAGGTCCAAGCGCCGGTCTACAAGTAGGCTTACATAGATCAGAAAGCTGAACCTCCATGGTGTTCAGGAAAGCAGTAGCCTCATCGAACGGCCTCTCCAAATCCCTTCGATACTTCACCAACACATCGCAATACATCTCCTGCAGGCCACCGCAACTGAACTCATCAAACACAATTACCTTTCAGGAAAAAAAATGACTCTTTTTTTAAGAAAGCAAACCATAAACTCGTCCAGCTCGGGATCCGAGCCGAGTATGACGCTCGACGACGCGACCCTCTCGCCGCCGGCGTTCTCCCGCCGTATATCTTCGAGCAGCGACGCTATGTCCGGCGGGGCGCCCACCTTCATTACTTTAACAAAAAAAGGCGTAAAATTTATAATTGAATCTGTTTTTCAGTGAAGGAGACGAAGTTTATTATAGGATTTGACCTTCTGGCAATCGATGTAGGCTTCGAGGAGATGGGGATAACGTGGATGCGAAGCAATCCGGGCTTTCATTTCTTCCTCCGCAGCGGCCGCAGCTGCCGCTGCGCCATAACCGGCGGCGGCGATCAATCCATGAAGGTCTTCCGCCGCCGCGAAAGCGGAGTCCGGCTGGAGGCCGTACATCTCATCCATCGTTGGTGTGGCGGCTATCACAAAGAAAAGAGAGAGGGAACGAGGAGAGAGTGATGGCTGTTCGAGATACTGGGAACCGTGGGTCTGTTGTCATTGCCCTTTAATCTAATTGGACATTATGGGGACAATAATGCAGTATTATTCGCACTCATTCCTCTGCTCATTCTGTTCATGAGTTGACCATGAAATTACAAAATATTATATTACGATTCTAAATTAATTAATACTTGAAATTGGGCTATGTCTCATGGGGTAATTTCTGTGATGAATTTAAATTATATAATAATTATTATTATAATAATGTTACTATAATTATTTCTCCAGTTTTGCATCGTCATCAAAACATTTAAATCGTCTGAAGTAATTTATAAGTGTAAAATAAAGTTTTATATCTAGGTTAAATATTTCATATTAACTAAGGTTAACAGTTTTGTATGGTGCATGTCAAAAATCTCGTTGGCTAAAGAAGAAAATTTTATCATTTATTGAAAAAGCAAAATGCAACGCATCTAATCAAATTAACATAACTTAAGAGTAGATGTAGTCCTAAATTATAATTATTGCTTGATAGAAATTCACCATTATAAAGAATTTTTTTATATCTTAATTTCTTACAAAGATCTAACATACATAATAATAATAATGAACATAATAAACACTAAATTTTTTACATGAAAAACTGAAAAAATAAAAAAAAATCACGAGGTTTGACTCTGATGAAATGATATAATGTGTAGACAGATGGCAAGAGTCTGTTCTTCTCTTAATTGTAGCAATAGTTAGATAGTATGAGTCGGTTGACAATAATCAAATGATTATGGTCAAGTAATGGCAATCATTTAATGATGGTCGTGTGAAAATAGTTAAATGATGATAATTGGTCAATGGTGAATAGATTTGTGATGGCAAGTCAAAGATGATCAGATGACAATAGTTACATTACGACATGGTGGTGGCCAAACAACCACAATTAATCGACTGTGATAACTAATAATGATCATCACCATAGAATGTCAAGTAAAGCATTAGAGTTATTTGGATCTCCAAGCTCTCTTCAAACTCATTCATATGAAGAATTATGATATATTTGAAGTGTTTTTTTAGTGGCATTTTGATAAATTTGATCAAAATTCAATAACACTTCATTGGGTTACTCATAAAAAAACCATTTGTTCTTAGATTGTTCATTAACATTTAAGCATACCAACATGTTTTAATAACATGTTTTAACCAGGATGACCCAAGCCAGATCTAATAACATGTTTTAATAAAAAAAGTGTAACTTGTTAATATAGAGTATAGGATAATTGATAAAAAAAAATAAGAAGAGCATACCAACAAGCTAAAGAATTTAAGAATAAAAAAAAGGGTCACTTTGTATCGAAATTAGATTCACGGATTAACCCAACTTAAGTAATTTACGGCATCGTTAGTATCTTTATCCAAGAATCATCTACCAGGAATATAGGATTCTGGAGGTGGCTCCTACAAGTTTAAGTGGTGACTCTCGCCAAATAGCACTTTGTCTCATACAGGGTTCAAGATCAAGGTGTCTCCCATAGTATAACACTTTGTCTTGTATGACACTTACTTCACATCTTTTGACTGGTGTATTACTGTGATACCATTTGCAACATGCCAGACTCTTAATATCGAGATGTTATCTGTTTTGGCCTAAGTGGCTTACATTTTTATCATGTTAGTGTAACTTTCCATGAGATCACCTATCCCATGATTAATTTCTTCAGAATGAGCATGCTTAAATGTGAAGTTTCTTAAAAAAAATTCAACCATTACACCAAAAGACTTAAATATAGTTAAATTAGGATCAAAGGGAAATGAATTGGTGTTAATATAGTGACTTAAATATGAGCTGAATGAACTGGAGTTAACAGAACACTAATTAAGAACAATCAAGTCAATCTCTCACCCATAAAGAGGAGAATTGAATAACTCGGAACCAGCTTGTGACTAGTGGTTTCAATAGTCTCTAGTAAAATGAGTGGGTTTGAATGAATTATGATTGATGAGTGGCTAAAGTTTATCAAAATAATCACTATTAAAAACTTATTTATAAAGGCATGTGATGTACCAAAATATAAAATAAATTACTTAACACTCAATACACCATCATACAAATAGTTATCTTGACATAAAGTTATGCGGCACAATAAATTCCTATTATGACATGTCTAAATGTTACTTTCTCTAATTTTTTAATAGCTAACATGTGATTCATTTAATTAGTGTTGATCATAATTTCAAATTGATCCAAATCAATCTTTTGCAAATCTCCATCATTCATCATATAAGAACATTTATGATATCTAACTTCTATGTGGAAAGAAATTTTGGGTCCATAATAGAATCATCTTATTGTCATCATCCTTTAAAATTTTTCCAATCACAAAAAAGATCTATTTCTTCCAAAACACTTAAAATCACAATTACAAAATTAAACAAAATAAAATAAATTAAAGAAGAAAATGCACAAAATAAATCTCTTAGTATATTAACAAAACAATCCTACATAATATTACAATTCTCATTAAATTTTGAAGCATATATATATATATTAGGGGAACCCACCAAAGGAGCCTACGCGTTGATATAAGGGAAAATTACAAAGTCCTTAAAGGGACAACAGCTCATTAATGCTCGAAGAGCTACAAAGCATAAAATAAAGAAACCAAAGAGCCGATTGTCCCCACTAACCAGAATAATTTTTTTTGAAGCACGTGCTAAAAGAGTTAATCTCTAAAAGAAAATAACAACTTTATTCCCAACATGAATTTAAATAAGTTATTATGATTTTATATTTAAAACAAATGATATGAGCTAAATAGCATTATCATTCATATCACTAATCAGACCATGCCAAGAAACATCGATGAATAATGAAGCTTAATTTTTATCTTTACTTAGCTTGCACAAACTATATGTCAACAATCTTGATCAGTCATATAACTTCAAGTTTATGTTAGTTATACAAATGAATAATGAAGCAGCAATGGACCATTTCATATCACTGGGTGTAAATAAGTTTTCTTGCTTTGATTTGCAGCATACAACTTAATTTCTTTATGAAATAATACAAATGTTTCATTTGGGATAGTTTTCTTACTGGTTTACAAAGCAAATTTTTAGTACAAAATTTTTTAAATTAAATTTTTTTGTACTAAAAAGTTGTTTTAGAAAGCAGTAAGAAAACTATCCCAAACGAAGTCGAAGTGACTTCTCGTAAAGCACATGAATGTCTCGTATAGAATCTTAAAACCTAGCAAAACTTCGTTGGCGCCACGTAAGTCTTACTATAAATTAAAATGTGTTGAAAGCTTCCCACATAAGAGAGAGTACTAATCTATGCTAAACTAATCTAATTTCCTTTTTAAATCATTTAATATTAATCTAAATTTTGTTTGGAACAATTTTCTTGCTGCTTTTTAAATCAACTTTTTAGTGTAAAATTTTAATTTAAAAAACTTTTGTATTAAAATTTACTTTAATCTTAAGTTTTACATTGAAGACTTAAAAGGGCATATATTGGGTACAGTGGAAAACAATGCAATCTTTTTATACGACTATCATCATATTCATTAGTACAAATGGTAAAGTTTTAAAAAGAATATAGTATATTCTAATCATATGATATATGGAATTGTAGGGTGGACTTATTGTGGTTCCTAATCTGCCATGTTTCCTCTTAATATTCTAACCATTGCATTTTTCTTATCCAAACAAATCAATGATTCTTTTAAGTAAAGGTATGGTTTCCATCTTGCAAGCTAAAAGATATTTAAGACCAACTTTGTGAAGGAAAGCTCCTACTAGATAAACATGATAGCATCATCCCTTATTTAATGATTACAAAGAAAAATGTAAACGATTTCGATGATTACAACAGTCAATTGTGCTTAAAACTTTATATAAGAAGCAAAATTTTAAGTCCTTAGGACATGCGGGGCAGCTCAGTGGTTGAGCGCAGGACAACGCCTCCCGCCGACTCACGTTCGATCCCTAAATGGCTCCAAAAAATTATTTTAAGTCCTCATAATTTTTAAAGTTAAACTAGCTATAACAACTATTTTTTATTAGTGATATGCAATTTATTCATATCTTTATGTGATTAGCCTAATGGCTCTATACGTCTAAGTCAAAGTTGATTTAGTGGACTATCATATCTATAGTTCTAAGTGATATTTCTAACTATACCTGTTTGCCTGCCCTAATTAGCTAAAGGTCAAATCATATAAAATCTATTATGTCTCTAATTCTAAGTGTCATTTATATAATTATTTTCTACTCTTGATTAATTAGTTTTAGGTCAAATCATGTAGGCCATATCATGTCCTATTTCACATTACATTAATTTATGTTTTAATTTTAGGTGATTAATGTAGTGACCTTGCCTTATTATCCATTGCTAATTAATGGAATTGGCAAAAATTTGTTCGAGGTATTCTTATGAGGCATAATGGTCATATCATAGCCAGACTTCGAAATCTATAGGTAAACTATATATTCAATTCTATTGCATTCTAATTGATCTAGTGAGTTTTGATATTTATATGTTATCTATAAATAAATTCTAGATGGTTCTGAGTCTGTGAGCTTACTTTAGGTAATCTTAATTTTATTTAATTGACTTTCTTTTTTTGAGAATATTTAGCACATATTAATTAGTCTCAACAAATTTATAAAAGTCTTAGCATTTTCTAGGATGGATATTTGACTATGCTAGCTTAGGACTCCCCTTAAAATTCATAAAAGCAATTTTCTTTTTTCAAGCTCAAAGATATTGTGATATATCATTTCACTTGATATATCATCAAAAAATTTATCTTGATTAGGCACGAATCTTGAGGCAAAAATCAAGTTGGGAACTTCGATTTCAAAAAACTTACAGTCGATCCAACGACACCAAAGTCAGCTCAATCTGAGCCCAAATGGGTACGCATCGAAGGCCCGAAGCACATTTGGAAGGTTCAATCCACAATTTGGGTTACCAAGCGGTTTTCAAACATAACGTGCTTATAGTCGAACAGAGAGGCTCGACGAGACGAGTCCAATGAACCCAAGATTG